GCCATTTGTGACAACATGGATGGACCATGAGATAATCATGCAAAGTGAAATAAGCCAGGCAGAAGAAGTTGAAAATCACATATCACTTATATGTGGGATATAAACCTAAAAATAACAAATGAACAGGACAAACAAACAGAGACTCATGGACATGGACAATAGACTAGTGGTTACCAGATGGTAGGGTGGAGAGGAGAAGTGGGAGATAGATGGGGTAAAGCATGTCAAATAGTGGTGACAGAAAGAAATGTAACTATGGGAGGTAAGTAGGTGGGAATATCAAGGAGGGAGGTAGACTGGATAAAAGGGTCAAATATGGGGTGATAGAAAAAAATCTAACTATGGGAGGTGAACACAGAGTGTAAATATATATATGCCTTATACTATTAAAGTGCACAGTTGAAACATTGGATTTAGTTAACCAATATCACCATAAAAATAATAATAATAATAATAATTTAATAATAATAATAATAATACATATATTTTAACAATGGGTTGGGGGAGTAAGTTTAAAGTCCCACATCAATACGGGTCATTAGTTAGGGGTTAGGAAATGGCCCTCTGTTCAAAAATTCAAAATACCTAAAGCATAGTACTCTAGAGTCGTACTATTTACTGAGGGGAGGTTGGAGCCTAGTGTAAAGAAATTACTGGTGTCTGGAGTATCAATTCTGTCCCTCTATGAGGCCTTTGAACCCCACTGTTTGCTGCTAAAGCAGACACTTGGCCAAAGAGGGGAGAAATGATGTTGTGGAATTTGGAATTCACTTGTTCATGAAAGATATATTTAAAATATTCATTATATCTGTTTGAGAGGTCATTATTCTACATATCAAGTACATGTTGAATTAAGTGGGCTTGTCTATAAATCCATTAGTCAGTTAACATTGACCACATAAACCTCTATGTATAAGTAAAATAAGCCTGTTACCAAAGGACAAATGTTGTATAAGTCCACTTATATAAACCTAGGGTAGTGAAATTTATAGAGACAAAGACTACAATGGTGTTTACCAAGGACTGTGATGAAGAGAGAATGGGCAGTTATAGTTTAATGTGTGGAGTTTCAGTTGAGGAAGATTAAAAAGTTCTGGAGATGAATCAGGTTGCACAACAACCTGAATATACTTAATGCTACAGAATTGTACACTTTAAAATGGTTAAAACAGTAAATTTTATGATATATATTTTATAATAAAAAATAGAATATAAAATGTTATAGAATTGCAAGGGACAGTAGAGATCATCTTGTGAGATACTTTACCACTCCTGAATTGTTTTCTTCCAGTCTAGGGTGTGTTGTCTATACCCGATCCTCAAATCCCAACCTACTTAAAAATCATACTCAAGACCTAGTTCGAATGCTACTTCCCAGTTTTAGGGTTGTTGTACTTGATGTATCTGTAGATAAGCAGGTATTATGAGGTCAATTCGTCATACATATCTGAGGCTAAGGAGAGAGGATGGAACAGAGACATGAATTTATAAGTTGTCAGAATAAAGTAGATGAGACTGACTAGGGCAAATATGCAGAATGAAAGGAATACACATAGTGGGTACTAATATGGGGCTTCTTAGAGGTGTCTTAATATAAACTTTAAAGCCATTCTTATTTTGAGAAAAGAAAACATTGTGAAAAGGAGAAAAATTTTCCCTCTTTGATTTCCTTAAAGTTTTATAAGAAAACTCCAATTATTGTTAAATTAAAGAACATTCCAAAAACATTCACTAAACACTGGAAGTAAACACACACAAGTCTCAGAAAAAATGAGAAGGCCACAAAATTGTATAGACTCTATTCTGGAATATTTTACTTTAATCATTGAGTTCTCTCTCTTTTTTTGATAAATATCAGAGGTATTAGTATGTGGAGGGGGGCATATTTCCTTAATATAAAGATAAATCTAGGACATTTTTAATACCAAATAAAAGCATGATTCGAATTCTATTCAGTGCCTGAATGAGCTTCATTTTAAGATTTATACTGAGCTAGAAAAATATTTAAAGATTATAAAAGGTTTTTCCAATGTTATGAAATCAGAAAGGAAGGGTTTGTTTATTTTAGCACACTTCATAAAGGCTAACTTTGTCTCTCAAGAAAATCTTCAGTGAACTAAAATTAAAGAAAAATACTGATGTGTTTGTCTGGTTTTTACTCTTGTTTTTAAAAATTAAGTTATACAGTGAGCTCAGTGAAAATTAATATCTAGTACATTTTTTCACGTCTCAAGGAAATCGCTACAACTGAATACAGTTCCAACGAGCATATAATTTTCTCTCAAAAGTAATAATTTTTCCTCCAGCTTACAGTGAGGTCTTGGTTATGTATGATATCCTGTGTAAGAACAACCTGAGAAAAACTCATGTCCTATTTTACTCAATTAACTTGACTCACAAAATTCCCCATATCATCTGAAACAGAAGGATCAGTCACACAGAGAACATGAGTTGATTGATAATGCAGTTTCCTAATGGTACTTAGAGGATATAGCCTTAAATTACACTGACTTCATTAAACAGAACCTTGTTATATTTGATATAATTTCACTTAAAAAATGTAAGCTTATAAAGCCATACTATATTTTAATATAAATGGAAAATAAACAAATTGGTCAACTTGAGAAAGTAATTTAAATACATGGTATTAAAATATTATAAAATATTTTTCTTTGTGTGTGGGTGTGTGTATGTGTGTGTGTGTATAAATATAGAGATAATACACACATTCATTTACTTTAATATAAACAGATTCAGGATACGAATAATATCAGCCAGTTGTGAATTTCTACAATTTTATCATGAAGTAACGAGTTCTTCGAAGTACTCTTTCACATCATGGACTTTAATTAATGATGGATAAAGAAAATAAAAAGAATCCAGCTTAATCCTTTAAGAAGACATCTTGGATAATAGTTTTTTATCACTGACCAGTGTGAGAACATTCTACAGTCAAGGTATGGACAAAACAAACTATCTGTTTTATTTACTTAAAAATTAAGAATTTATTGGTTGACAGGTACATGTATACTATGAGGGGAATTTTTTTTAAAAAGGTGAAACCTTCAGAATAAATAACACAAACAGAGCTACGATTAATTTTCCATGAGAGTACTGACTATGGATAAACAGGCTATAAGCAACCAATAAAACAGTCAATACCATCTCAATACCCATTTTCAATATAATATAGAACAGCCTATTTTAAATATGGCTCATTGAATATTTTAAGTTAGTTACCAAAAATGGTTTATCTGTTACAGATGCCTAAAAATAGCAAGGGTTCAGGTTTGCTCTAGAGTGGGTGTGGAATTATCATGGTTCAATCCAGAAAGAATAAACCAAAGTGAGCAAACAACACACGCATGCACACACACACATATGTGCATGTGCACGTGGGAGACAAGAAATTCTTGGGGCTGCCTATGGTCAAGTCTGCTATGGGAATTAGAAGGAAGATCTAAAACTACTGAGACTGAGGATTCCTGAAAAAGAATCTGACCTGCTAAATAAGTTTTTGAGGAAAAAAAATATGAATGCAAATGTCATAAAGAATCAAATAATTATGTATATAGTGAAATGGAGTAAGATGTAAATTGAATAGGAATTGCCAGCAGCATCACCTTTTCTTGGAAGTCTCTCTTGAAGGCCTTCACATCATCTCCGAAAAAAAAGGATAGAAGTGACTACTTGCTTATTTGTGCTCTATTTTCACCTTGTTCATACTTAACCACAAAATCTGCACATTTTTGGTGTAATATGAGACTGTGAGCTCCTTAAATATATCTAGTAAAGTGTATGACACATAGTGACTGTTAGCTGTTTAATGATTCATTCTATCATGCATTCTTTCCACATTCATTCAGTTAATGTAATATTACAATAAACCTGCCTTTGTAAAAAGGTAGGGTAATTGATGATGAATTTCTATATCAGTATTAACTAACATAGATAGATTATCTTAGGGTTTATTTGGTCAGCAGAACATAAAAAGATAGCATCAATTTTTATGCAGGCCAACAGCTTGATAAGCTATAAACACACTCTTTTTGGCCTAGAGATAGATAAACAAAAAACCAACCAACCAAAAAAAAAAAAAAAAAGAAAACCAAAAACCCTTACTCTTCTTGTGAACCCTGAAAAGCAAAGATCTAACTAATACTGTCTTCCTTTGAAAAATTTCAACACTGGCATATTTTTTTTTAATTTTAACATAATTTAAACTCTAATCTAACCTAGATTTTTCCAACTATTTATTCTTCACATTCGATAGACACAAATTTATATCTAAGTAACTCTGGAATCTAAGAACTCTTGGATTTTACTAACTAAAGTGTTCTCTGTTATGTAGTAACATCTCCATCTGCTGGAACGTTAGGTGTTTGCTAATTTTATGATCCTATAAACTAAAAATCCAATTTTTTTGGAAGGGGTGTTGGGAAAAGATATTATTCCATTTAATTCCATTTCAACAAATATTTATCATGCGCTTAAAATGTGCCATGCCCTGTGCTAAGGGATGTAAAATCTGACTGGTTGAGCTAAAACCCCCTGCCATCAAGGAGCTCACAACCTGGAAGGAGAAGAAAATGTATAAATAACCAACACAACTCAATGGAATAAGTGACATACTTACATATTCCATCAATTCTGAAGTTGACACAGATTGGAACCATTGAGAATAATGTGTGAAAGCTCAAGGGCAAAGCTCTTTCCTGACAAAGAATATGTCTCAAGGACCAGCTGCATTTCTGCTCTTCCATCAGTCGAAAAGTTCAGGTATGGAAAAACACTGCAGCTGAGTACTGGGATGCATTCAGGATATAGCTGCTAAATCTAAAAACAGTCTATTTGGCACTCTAAATGGAGTTGGATGCTGCCTGGAGGTCAAAGACTGCCAAATCCTAGTTTAAGACATTGCCTTTCAAAAATAGAATTTAAAAAAGAAAAACATATAATACAAATACCTTATGACTTAAATAATATAGCACACACATTACCTTTAAATATGATCCATAGTATTTGGTTACATATGAGCTGTCACACTGACTCAAAACAGTTATTTCTTGCTGAATGTCTTCAATTTCATCTTCAGCTTCCTCGAGGTCTATGATTTTAATAGCAACCACTTGCTGGGTACGGTTATCAATTCCCTTGAAAACTTCTCCAAAGGAGCCTTTCCCAATGCATTCTAATTTTGTGAACAGTTCTTCTGGATCTGCTATATTATTCTGAGTGAAAAGAAAACAAAACAGGAAAGAACACAAATGTTTGGCATCACATTTTTTTGAAATGAAGGAAAATAAATCACATACGACATTAACAAGTTTTTAAAAGCCTACACATTTCCTTGACTCTTCACATGTGCTTTGTTAGAACAACTGTAATCCCAAATGGTCTGCTAGTCTATTTTCTATTGGATTACTCACACTAACTAGGCTTAGCTGCTACCACAAACAATCCTACACAACAAATGTTATTTCTGGTGCCTGCCAAAGGGCCAGAAACATTTTAGAATAAGGCAGCTGATTATACACAGTTTACACATTAATGCTACGATTGTGAAAGAATATCTAACCTAAGCTATCGGTAAGTGAATTATTAAAAATTCTAACATTCTGCCAGCAACATATTACCTTTTAACTCTCTTCCTTCTCCAACGTGGACATCTCAATCACCACACCTATATTCCTAAACCATCACATAAACAACACAGAACACAAAAGATGCAAGAATCTACAAGTCTTCTTTTTTACTTGTTATCGAATTCATATGTAATGTTCTCATCAATAGCTGAACGAAGATTCTATGCTTTTATCATAAATGCAAATACTCATGAAGAAATGGTAATAATGTGGAATTTTCACAACTTATTTCACAGTGGGAATCCAGAATAGGTCGACATTTTGCTACAATAAAATCTGTAATCAAGCATAGGATTTTAGGTTAATAAATGTAGAGGCAAGACTTAGATTTATAACTACACTATTTTTTTCTGATTCACAAATATCCTTTATCTAATCACATACAATTTCTAATTAAAATTTTATTTTCACCAGACAACCTATATATGTATAGACTCATATTACTGAACATATACTTTTCTTAATTTATATATATATTTTTTCAATTATAGTTGACATATGTTATATTAGTTTCAGGTGTACAACACAGTGATTATACATTTATATAACTTATAAAATGATTCCCCCAATAAGTCCAGTACCCATCTGACACCACACATAGTTGTTGCAATACTACTGATTATATTCCCCATGCTGTATTCTACATCCTTTTGACTACTTTGTAACTACTAATTTGTACCTCTTAATCGCCTCCCCCTTCACCTATTTCCCACCCCGCAATCTGACAACAATCAAAATGCTCTCTGTATCTATGAGTTTGTTTCTGCTGCTTGTTTATCTTATTCTCTAGATTCCATAGACATTTATCTTTCTGTCTGACTTATTCTACTCAGCATAACACCCTGTAGGTCCACCCATGTTGTTAAAGATGGTAAGATTTTATTCTTTTTTATGGCTGAGTAATATTCCATTGTATATATGGACCACCTCTTCTTTAGCCATTCATTTGCTGATGGACACCCAAGATGCCTTCATATTTTAGCTACTGTAAGTAATGCTGCAATGAACATATGGACTCACATGTCCCTGCAAAGTAGTGTTTTAGGTTTCTTCAGATAAATACCCAGAACTGGGATAACTTGATTCTTCTTTGTCTCTTGTTATAACCTTTGTTTTAAAGTCTTTTTTGCTACTCCAGCTTTTGTTTTGTTTTGTTTCTGTTTTCATGAAATCTTTTTTCATCCTTTTACTTTCAGTCTGTGTGTGTCTTTCAATCTGAAGTGAGTCTCTTGTAGGCAGCATATTCAAGAGTCTTGTTTTCTTATCCATTCAGCTACCCTATCTTTTGATTGGAGCATTTACATTCAAAGTAATTGTTGCTAGATATATAGTTATTGCCTTTTTATTATTCATTTTTTTATCTGTTTTTTCTTCTTCTTAAAGAAGTTCCTCTAACATTTCCTGTAATACTGGCTTGTTGATGATGAACTCCTTTAGCTTTTTCTTATCCGGGAAAATCATTATCTGCTTTTCAATTCTAAATGATAACTTTGCTGGGTAGAGTAATCTTGGTTGTAGGTCCCTACTTTTCACCACTGACTATTTCATGCTAACCTTTTCTGGTCTGCAAAGTTTCTGTTGAGAAATCAGCTGACAGTCTTATGTAAGCTCCCTTGTAGGTAACTGACTGCCTTTATCTTGCGGCTTTTAAAGATTCTCTCCTTGTCTTTAACCTTTGGCATTTTAATTATGTTGTCTTGGTGAGGGCTTCTTTGGATTCATCTTGTTTGGAACTCTTTGTGCTTCCTGGGCTTTTACGTCTATTTCCTTTACTAGGTTAGGAAAGTTTTCAGTCATTATTTCTTGAAATGGATTTTCAATTCCTTGTTCTCTCTCCTCTCCTTCATAGGGATCTATTATGATGCAAATGTTCATATGCTTGATGTTGTCCCAGAAACTCCTTAACTATCCTCATTTTTTTGGATTCTTTTCTCTTGTTGCTGTTCTGATTAGGTGTTTTCCGCTATCTTATTTTCTAAATTGCTGATTAGATCCCCTGCTTCATCTAATCTACTGTTAATTCCTCTTGAGGTATTTTTCATTTCTAACTGATTCTTTATGTTTTCTATCTCCACTTTTACGTTCTATCTCTTTGTTAAAGTTCTCAATGAGTTCATCTACTCTTCCTCTAAGTTAATTAAGCATTCTTTTCACCAGTGTTTTGAAGTCTGCATCTGGTAGATTGCTTGTTTCCATTTTGTTTAGTTCTTTTTCTGGAGCTTTGTTCTCATTTTTCATTTGAGAAATGTTTCTTTGTCTATTCATTTTGGCTGCCTCCCTGTGTTTGTTTCTATGTATTAAGTAGAGCTGGTACATCTCCTGGTCTTGGTAGGGCAGCCTTATGTAATAGGTGTCCTGTGAGGCCCAGTGGCATCTGAGCTGGGTGCTCAAGTGGTGTCCTTTGTATAGGTTTTGTGTGCCCTCCTGTTGTAGTTGAGCCTTTGTTGCTTTTTTCTCATCAGAGACTGACCCTGGGGCTGATTGGTTGTGATGACTGGCTGTGACCAGGGAAGGAGCTGTTGTGCAGAGGCTGACCCTATAGAGCAGCATTCACTTTAGCAGGGCTCTGGTGCCTGCCCTGTTTGCTCTTTAGGTGTGTATTCCTCAGATGTGACCTGGGTGGTACTCCTGCTCAGACCAAAGCTGGCCACTGGGCATGCAGGCTGGGGCCTCATGGGAGGGGCCCTGCTATAGGCCAGTTCAGCTGCAGCCTATGCACTGCCAAGGCTGCCAAGGGCCACCGGGGATCAGCCACCAGGTAATCCGCAGATGGCCGCCACCCATGATGGGCTTATAAGTGCCTCAAGAGGCCAAGCCACAAATCGAGGGCAGCTGCCGCTGGTGCTGGGCTTGGGGTTGCTCAGCAAGAGGCAAGGGGCATGTTGAGGCCAGATGCTGCTCGTTGAGGTTTTCTGAACCTTTGAGAAATTTTAGGAAGTCCACAGCATGAGCCAAGCCTGGTCGTTCATATGGAAAATCTAGTGGCAATGGCTTGGGTGGGCCTGCATGTTGGGAGGGGCAGAGTCTCAAAGAATCACCAGGGTGGGAGGACCTGTGTTAGCTGTTGGTGGAGACTCAGATATGGTGGCTGCCTATGTCCACAAGCTGGGTGGGGGAGGTCTCAACAAAGGAACAATGCCCTTTGCCAGCACTTCTGAGAGTAAGCTGCCTCTTCAGCCCTCACCCTAAAGCCAGACAACTCAGTACCTCCCTGTATGTCCCTGGCACCTTTCAAGTTGTGGCCCCAGCGCTGGAGCTCAGAGCAGGCCCCAGAAGAGGAAAGTCTGCGACTCTCTCAGCCTTCAGTCTCACTCTGCCACAATCTCTGTTGGCATCCAGCCAGAAGTTGTGGGGACTTCTCTTCCCAGCACTGGGACCCTGGGCTGGGGTGTCCAGTGGAGGGCCAGGAACCCTTGCTTTTCTCGGGGGTCCTCCACAGCCACTATATTTCTCCTCATCCTCAACCACCACACATGGGTGTGGTACCAGCCTATTTCATGTTTCCTCCCCTCCTACTGGTCTCGAGGTGGCCTCCTCTGTGTGTCCCCAGTTGTAGGACTTTTGTTCAGCTAGACTTCAGGCAACTCCCAATGATGGCTATTCTGTAGTTTAGTTGTAATTTTGATGTGGTTGTGAGAGGAAACAAGCACAGTGTTTATCTACTCCTTCATCTTGACTTGAACTCTCTGAATATATACTTCTAATCAAGTAGAAACATAAGATTGGCAAACCTCCCAAAAAAGTACATTATTAATTTATATTTAAGTACTTTATTAGTCTACAGCTAAAACTACTTTAAGTTCCTTCAAAATATAGGAGAAAGCTATTTAGTCCTAGTGTGCTGTTTATATTTGTCAATTGGACATAGATTATTTGTTCATTTACTACAATTTTACCTAGTCATCAACTTTATGAGACACTTATGGAGTTAGCAGGTTCTCTTATGTCTTCTTTTATTAGACAAAGAGATCATTAGTTTATTATTTTTCTCATCAAGTTCTTTGCACTATCATAACCAAATAGATCTACTACTCCAGTTAACTGCCTACTTTTGAGTAATGTAAAAACTTATGATTGCTTTTTAAATTTTTTTCACTAACTTAAATACTATTTGCATATGACCTGCTTAGTTATAAGCTTCCCCATTCTCCTTGATTGGATTTTTTCCCATTTCTAAAAGGTATAATTTCTATGTAGTAGTCTCTTTGATATTGCAAGCTACTTATTATCACCACCCACCACCACATGAAACAAATAGATCTTAAGCTTCTCATATAGGCTTTTAAAAATAGATTGGACTTCCAGTAGGTTGCAAATGCACTTTTAATGCTCACATTTTGTTATAATATTTTCTCCAAAACCTGGGTACCATCATTATTGATTTCCTGGGCGTTCTTTTTTTCTACCAAAACATTGTACTTCTTTGTGATTACTATTACACAGTAAGTTGCTCACCCACAAGATACCTCTCTTCCTACTTTTGGTGATGGTTCTTGTCCTTCTAGTACCTTGAGGCAAAAATACTTGTCAAATAGCTTGGTGATAGATTCACCTCCCTAAAACTTCTTAATTTATTGGATTTG